ATTGAATTCCTAAAAAATAATATTTATAATGAATTTTAATAATTTTTTCGGATTTTTTTGAAACTTTATTCTGACCGATTCACCCGATTCCGATCCGGATAGCCGATTCTCCGATCCGGATCGCCGGTTCGCCGATCTGGATCGGTTTTTGAAAAGCCCGATCCGGGTCACCGATCCAGTTTTTAAACCATTGATCTGACCGATTAGGCCGATTCTCGATCCGAATCGTTAATTCACCGATCCGGATGGATTTTTGAAATACCCGATCCGGGTCACCGATCCGTTTTTTAAACCACTGGTATATAGGCTTCGTCTGAATGGTTCGGGTGACTTATCAATGAAATATCATTAGTCACCTTCATGTGTAATTAATAATTTTATTAGTCCAGTGGTCAATAGAAAAGTACATAAAAAACCATTTTATTTTGGGACCTTAAACTATCAAAGTAAGGTGTATGTCCAAACTTTGTCATAAGAAGCAATTTTGTTGTAAAAAATAAAATTCTTAGGATGACTCAAAACTCTATTTTTATCTCTATTAATAAAATTTTAAACTTTAAAATTGTTTGAATCAAGAAGATTTATACATACATGAAAATCTTGAAAATGGACGGTCTAGATAATCCGTTGCAAGATGTACTATTTTGAAGGCCTAAAATCTCTTTTTTTTTTCTCCATATCTGTACATTCAATGTTAAGATGAGCAATTATATGTTTTCCCAACATCAAAACAATTCTACATTTTTAAGACTTTTTTCGAAGAATTTTAGAGGTGCACCTTAATTCTAAATTTTAATGTGTCAACCTTATATATTTTTAATACAAGAAGGTTACAATCAATCTCTTTTGTCATATTTCAAATTGGGGGGTTGCGAGTGTGTCATTGGCTGGACTCAAACTTCAAAATAAAATTTCTCAAATTTTGAAACACACCCCAAACTATTCAATTTAACATTTAATGGCTAGCAGCAATTGTGACTTCTTTTTAACAAAAAATAAATAGTCTTATATATACACACACATGATTTGAACTCAATCGATATTAGGTAACTCTCTAATCGTGTCTTTTCTATCCTAGACAACATGCTTACAATATCATTTTTCCGAGTCCTTTATCTCTAACCTTGTCCGTTCTCTCTCTACCTTCTCCTTCTATAACTACATCCATTTTATTGAAATTGTAATATCAATCTATCTCCTTTACTCCCGTTGAACACATCATTTCTATAACTACGAGGAGCTCCATTTTAATTCTTATTTTGATCATAAAATGGATGTAATGAGCAACAAACACTTTGATATAAGACATGTTCTCAGTATTAATATTTTTGTTGTAAAATAATTAAATATTATAATACGATACCATTGTTTTTTGAAAACCTAAAAAACTATATTTAAAAGAAATTATAGTGATTTTTTTAAATCTATTTAATGTTGGATCTTGCCGATCTAGTCTATTCTTTGATCCGGGTCGCTGATCCACCGATCTAACACGGCTTTTAGGGTGGCCAATCCGGCTCTCCGTTATGTATTTTTAAAATCTTGGTTACGAGACAATTATGATGACATACTATTTTGGGTCATAAATGAATTTACTTATCATCTATTTAAGTCCTATTTGGACTATTCTGGAGGAATATCCAAAAAATATCTTTAGCCATCTTCATGAATAATTTATAATATTCATAACATCAAAAGGTCATACTGACAAAAATATAACTTATCACTTTTAGTCATGGGGACCTTTAGTCTGCGTTTTTGGCAATAAATAATTTTCCAACTTTCCAGCATGAAGAATTTATTCATTTTTCTTGACTTCCAAATTTCAAATCACATGACGATATTAGTTTCCATATTTATGCTTCCCCTACAACACAAAACCTGTATACTTTCCCTTATCCAAGTGTCTATTCTAAATGGAAGGTTAAGATTGCCTCAATCACAATGTCATGTCTCTATACTATTTTATTTTTAATTTGTTATATAAATTATTGTGACACCAAATTTTGGTAGTCCAATCCTCTATTAAACTTGCACTTATAAAAACTATAAAACAAATATTCCCAATAAAATAAAATATCCAAAATACCTCTGAAAGATTCAAGGGGTATTTTGGTCAATATATTTTATTAAAAATTATTTTTAATGTTTTTTGTTGGGTGCACCGCAATGAGAATATGGCATGTACCAAATTTCATATTCATACAATTTGAATAATAAAATTTAAAAATAAAATACTCTGAGGCATCGGATCTAAGATCAAGCGGTGATTGACTCACTTGATCAAAATTGGACGGCTGGATTGCAAGAGAAGCATAGATCTTTTATGTTGTGGGGAAAATATAGAAACATTTCCCTTTTGAGGGATGTGAATCTCCCATTTTAAGAAAAGTTTTTGGATATCTTTAACTTGCCAAGAGATATGAGTACATAGGTTTTGCCCTCGCGTTCTCTTTTATGTATTTCACAAGTTGTGTTGGGATTACGATAGCCATAAAGGTCCATTGTTTGAAAAGGACAAAGTTAGAAGTCGATTAAGTTTGAGATTTGAAAGGCTTCAAGTACTTGCCTGTGGGTTGTTTTTCTCTTTATTTTGAGTTATTTTGTAGCGAGAGAAAATCGAAAAGATGATTTTTTTTCATTTGGAGCCTTCTTTCACTCGAAAAGACACATTCCACTCTAGTAAGGAAATGGTTTGATAGGGCTCTCAAAATAAGTTAAGCTCCAATTCATAACTCATAAAAGAATTGCTATTCAAGCGTTGAAACCTTTAAAGGTTGAACGTTATAGTTGTCCAAAACAATTGGATTTCAAATTCTAAAAATAGTATATAGTGCAACAAATTATCTAAACCATCAATTCTGCCCTAAAAATAAGTGTTTACAAATCCACAAGATCTGTATTATTTTTTTAGTTTCAAATTTTATCGTGGATGCTGAAAATTAATTTTAGAGCCATTATAAAGATTTGTGATGAAAAAAGTGCTTCCATAAAAAGAGAATTTGAGGTGAGGATTTATTTTGTTTTCATAATGCCTAAGCTCTATAAAAACTTCATAACTGGATCCGAACCTAGTGTGTAAGGAATCCCTAGAAAGAGTGCGTGCTTGTTTCTAAACCACCATGCAAATCCAACGGTCAACTGCTCTTGGTGTAGTGATAATAGTAGTACACTTGCTCTGTTGTTGGGCTTGCACCCCATATGAAAGACGGGCTCTAGGAAGCCTCAAAGATGGCGCAACAGATCGTGCTTAGCTTCATGGGAAGGTAATGGAGACTGTTGTAGTTGGAAAGGAATGGGGTGTTGTGTGCTCAAAGATATAATGCCACCCATGTCACACAATTTGTTCGTCGGCCAAACGGTAAGCTTCTTGCCCTTACTGATGAACTCAATGGTACCTTTGCTCTTCTCTGGCTTTAAGTACTTGGAGTATCTTGATCTTAGTTGGAATAACTTTCATCAGTCAAAGATACCTGATCATCTGGGAGATCGCCTTTGGCCTCAAATATCTGAATTTATCATCAAATGCGGTGAAATTTGAAAACGATTGGGTACTTGATCTTCCTTGAACACACTAGATCTTTCTTGCTCTTTTGTTGTTGAGGAAAGCTCACCGATGACAGTGAATGTCTCAACTTGCGATAAAATTCCTCATCACCCTTATTCTTATGTCTCTTCTGGCTTGCTCTTGAGTCATGGATTGTCATGGTTGGAAAGGCTTACTGAACTTAGGTTTCTTGCACTGGATGGGGTTGATCTTTCCATTGCGTCATCTGCAAAGGGTAAAGATTGGGCTGAGCCCATATCGCTTTTGTCCAAGCTCCAGGTACTGAGACTTTCTAATTGTAAAATTTCAGGTCCAATTCCAGTTACTCATCTCCTCAACCTCACATCTCTCTCTTCTTTATATCTTAATTTTAACATGTTTTTCTCCGCAATCCCACCTCAGCTTGTGAATCTCACTTTTCTTTCAAACTTGCATATTACCAATTCCCGTGTTCGATGTTCCAGTCCACAACATCCTCAGATACATGAGCTCCTTGCTGGTGATAATAGTGATCTGTCAATAGATCTTCCTCACTTGTTTGATCTTCCATGGCCATTTTTGCGAATCCTTGACCTTTCATTCTGCAATACTAGTGGGATTATGTCAAACAGTATGGGAAATATCTCTTCTCTGGTGTTGCTCTCACTATCAAGCAACAACATTCAAGGACCCATTCCTCCATACCTGACAAAACTCTCAAACTTTAAGAGTACATATACCTACCTCTCCTTTAATAGCTTAACGGGAGCAATTCCTTCATCTATTTCCAATATTGGGAACCTGCAAGCACTAGACTTATATCAGAATAACCTTGTAGGCCAAATTCCCCAGATTATATGTGGTCTCACCTCTTTGCAAATATTAATCCTTGCATACAACAAATTTAGTGAAATAATTCCTAGTTGCATGGGTAACTTCACGAGGCTAGAACCCTTTGATGTCTGTTACAACTCCTTAGAAGGCAATGTTTCTCTCCCATCTTTGTTCGACAATTCTAGTCCTACACGAGTTGGGATCGCTTTTAATGGTTTAACAGTAAGCACAGATCATATGGAGATGCCAACATCCTTTCAGCCAAGTATGTTGTGGTTATCTTCATGCAATCTACAAGGAAAAATTGCAGACTTCATCTCTAAATTGAAAAATATCCAAGTGCTCTACTTGGCGAACAATAGCCTGACTGGGAACATTCCTTCTTGGCTATGGCAACTTCCAAGACTGTCCACTTTGGACCTCTCTAACAATAAAATCTCTACGGAACCCTTCCACCTTCTTTCAGTCTTGCAATGTCATACACACTTTCAGGTCTGAATCTTGCAAACAATAGTTTCCATGGAAACCTTCCGCTGCCTCCCAATAACATAGGGGCTTTTGATCTATCTCACAATCAGTTTAGTGGTTTCAATCCCTGTCCAAATGGGTGAGAAACTAATGAATGCCAAGTATGTCTCCTTTTCAGGAAACAAACTCACTGGAGCCATCCCGCACTCCCTTTGTTCTGAAAACGATGGTATAATGAACCTAGACTTGTCGCAGAACTTTTTGAGTGGCACCAACTTTTGGAAATTGCACCTCCCTCATTGCTTTAAACCTGGCAGAGAACAACTTAACAGGAGAGGTTCCTTTCGAACTTGGTTATGCAAGGAAACTGGAAGCGCTTCGTTTGGGCAAGAATTACTTACATGGGCCATCCTAAAAGATTTAGATTTGGATTTGGGTTACAATTTTTTCAATGGGATTATCCTTCCTTTCATTGGTAATCTCTCAGAATTTCGTGTCCTCGTATTAACATCCAACCGTTTTAGTGGAAGTACTCCTACTGAGATAACCCAATTGCACCGGCTTCAGTTCATGGACTTATCAAACAATACACTGGAGGGGCCCATTCCATCAAATCTCAAAGATTTTGAAGGCCTGATCAAACAGAACAGACACCTGCAATTCTTCTTGGGTACTCGATTGATGTTATCCTTTTCTATATGGAACTGGAGTTTGCTATGAAAGGAAAGCGTTACGATTTAACCTCTGTATACTCATATCGCACAGAAATTGACCTATCTAATAATGGGCTTGATGGTGCGATTCCTGAACGAATGGGGTGGTTAAAAGTATTATCCATGTTGAACCTCTCAAGAAACCATTTGGATGGACAAATTCCAGAGAGAGTATTGGGAATCTGAAAACCCTTGGATCTTTGGACCTCAGCCACAACCAATTATCAGGACAGATCCCCATGAGCCTCACGGCAATAGACTCTTTGGGTTGGATAAATAACAATCTTAGTGGGAAAATACCTTTCTCTCCACATTACACTTGCAGTGGATCCTTTTGTATTTGTTGGGAACCCATACTTGTGTGGGGGACCAACAGGCAGCAGGAGTTTGGCTAAACAATCAAAATAATGTTGAGGTTTGGATGGAATTTCGTTTTAAGTGCAATTGTATTATTGGTGTCAATTGCATCGCACAAGTTCGATTACTTCTGGGAGTGTTGATCAGTGGAAGAGGCAGCTGCCAAAGTAGTATCTTCTTCTGCATAATTTTCCTACATTAGCGGTATTTATTATTATAATTATTATTAGAGGCAATAACCTCCAAAACAATATCACGCTTGCTGTTTATATGAAACAAACATATGATGCTCTCATTGGTTGTTAAGAGGGGGGAAGATAGTTTTGGTTAATTGTTTTTCAGGCACGCCTTAATTGTTTTTCAGGCACGCCTTGCTAGGAAAAGTTGCGTAGATAGGAAGATGCGTGTTGGTAGCACACTAATCACCACCTTGTTGTTTCTATTTTCATTGACACTACCCCACTAATACTTTAAATAAACCAATTCTTAAACTATTCGAAAGCAACTCTTGATGAATTTGGAGCTCAAAAAATTCGTTTATTATCACGTTTTAGGAGTTGGTTTATTTCGAAAACCAACACGAGAATATTTTGGTAACAATCTGGTCATTATCACATTTCTATAGAATCGAAATCATGAATTTAGAGTTCAAATAATAGTGCAGATCTGAAAAAAAGGTTGGGCCTAAGTAGTTAGGGGGGTAGGAGCCTCAACATTTTGTCCACCCTCCATCTTAGAGATAGACGTTAGATAAGAAACCACATGGTAATAAGTGAGTCGATTGACTCAACAAAACCATATCGTAACTATCTTCTAGTTCTTTTGTTTTTTTGGACAAATTTATGATACCTTCCTTGATATCCATTATAGTAGTTTTCTCTCAAAATTTTTATCTATTTTTCCCCCTTTTTTTTTCAAAATGAATCTCCTTTGAATCTTTTGGGTAATCGTAGCGAGGTTTATTAAAGATTTAACTTTAGATGTTCAAAGTTCAAAATAAGAAACAAAATTTGACTTTGGGTCTTCAAGTCCAAGATCAAGTATTGAAAGTCATCATCACAAATCTTCAAGGTCATCTTGAAATTCACTTCATAACTTAAAGGTTCAAAGTAAAAAAAAGATAAAAAAAAAGTATGCATGACAATTGGCTTTTGTTGTCCTTTCAGTCTTTCAAAGTCCGAAGTGGGGTACTTCATAATACATT